TGGACCGATGGCTGGAGCCGCCTGGTCCTGGCTGAGATACAGCAGGTGACGGCAGTGCCAGAGCGGGAGGGAGGCGCAGGCCCGTCTGCAGGGGTGTGGGTGGCCTGGTGGGCAGCTCAGTCAGCAGCAGTATTGCTCTGTGCCCCAAGGTGGTCTGTACTCTGCCTTTTGGTGGTCTTACTTAGTTTCCCGTTCTTGCTGTTTGTTAGTGATTCAGCTGGAGTCACACACTTCAAAGCCAGTTACAGTCTCTTTCTCTTTCTCTCCCTTGCTCTCTCTCACACTGTTTCTACACGTTTTAAGACATACAAACATCCAACCAACCCCTCCTGACCTCCACATCCCTCCTTAGATGAGCACCAGCTATCCAATGCTACAGCTCCTTTCATTCAGTTTTTTTTGTCTTTCTTTCAGCCTAAAATCTGATCAGACCAAAAAGCATACCATGCATACCATTAATTGAATTAAAAAAACATTCAGGTTTGCTGTGCCTGTTTGTAGGGCTGCACAATTTGGTGAAAATGTTGTGACTATATACAGTATTAATAAGGCAATAATAATAATGCTAACTAAAAAATGCAGGGAGCCCCTAACGCTTCTTTTTTGTTGATAATAAGCGCTTCTCATTACAAGTATTGGAAGATGGTTGGCTGATGTTGCGTTCCCAAATGCAAGTTAAAGTGCCACAAACTCATCTGTGAATAAATAGCTGCTTGTGTAAGAACATGGTGCTGCGCTTCACGCTGAAACACACAGCACATATATTTATTTAATTCAATTGCAGCCTTTCGCACAAATCGCACAAATATAGTCGTGCAGATATAATCAAACGAATCCATATCATGATTTTTTCAGTATTATTTGATTAATCGTGTAGCAAAGAAAACTGGCCAACCAATAAGATTTTTGCACTTATGGTCAAGTGCCAGTGTATTTGGTGTTTTCTGATAAACACCAGAGTGAAAAAATCTGAACAGTTGTTTGAAAACGTATAAATACCGTTGGACATCAGAAACAGAAAGCTGCAGTGAATTTGTGTTTTCTTTCAGCTACCGTTTATTTCGCATAGGCCTGAATAGACAGTTTGCATGTGAAAATCCGAATTTTCATGCCAAATATTATGTAAGTGTGAACAGGCCTTCACTCTTGAAGCGTCACAGTTGTTTTTGGGGGCAGGGTCACAGCGAGGGCAGAGGTGAGAGAGATGTAACAAAAGGCTGAACGCTGCGGCGTCAGCCTGAGCTTTTGGAGTGTGCTTGACTGCTGGGTCTCTCTCTCTAAAGCTGTAATTACAGTCAGCACAGTTCAGTGCACCTTGAGTGTCCTCTCTCCTCAACGGCCAGCTGTACTGGCCGGCATCCTGTGTCCATTCTACATTCAAGCCAGCGGTTAGCCTGCTGGATGGTTCAAAGTCAGTGTTGTGTAGACAGCAGAGGGCATATAAGAGCACTTTAATGGCGGAAACATCACACATCGACTTCCCAGCACAGAAAGGACAAATTCTAGAGAAATGAAGGCTTTTATCAGGATGAACGTGAGAGGGATGAATGAAATCCCGTGGGTCTGGATAAACACTTATTAGCGAGTCCAAGCTAACAGACTCCCCCTCTTCCTGTTCTTTTGCTATTTATACATTCATACACATCTTTAATCATTTATACAGCAGGAAGAAGAGGGAGTGGGTTAATGAAACGGATGTGGGCTCTTGGAAGGCTCGCTGGGTGTTGGTTTTGGCGGTTAATCATACTGTCATCTTGAGACTGTCTCTACTCGTGAACCTCTGCTTGCCTGGTGTGAGTTGACGAGGACAACAATCGAGCTGAGGAGTCAGAGGTCACGAGTGAGTGAGTAGTGAGCAGAGTTTGATTGGCACATTTGTTGAGCCGTGTCTGTCTGCGTCACAGTTCTGCTCTCAGTGCTGCGTCTGCAGAAAATTGACTCGTTGTCCCTCAGAAGCCACGCTGAGCGAATGAAGCATTAACTCACAGGAACACTGTGCCCTTTAACAGAGATGCATTCTTACTCAACCTTGACTGAGATCAACTGAACACAATCTGTCCTTGGACAAATGACATTGTCAGACTGGTACGATTCCAGATTTAATCAGACTCTTTCATGACATTAAAAAAAGCAATAATTATTGCTTTAATCCAAGTAAATTATACAAGAGTGCTTTTTACAGTTCTGGCCAGGTTATCATGAACTAAAACTAACCATTAAAACTAATTAAAACCATTTTAGTTACATTAAATAAAATAACTTTATACTTAAACAAAAGAAAATATAAATTAAACTTATTTTATTTCATCTTTGCCAAAACATCTTTCTTCATTTTCTTTCAGTTGAACTTGATTTGTAAAATTACTAAAACTGAAAAAAAAATAAAAATAATAAGAACTAAATTTAAAATGTTTAAAAAATCGTTAAAAATAAAAACAAAAACTAATACAAATCACAAAACAACAACATTACTAAAACTTTAATTAAAATGAAAATGGAAATGAAAAATATGATAATAAAAACTAATTCACTCACAGGAACACTGTGCCCTTTAACAGAGATGCATTCTTACTCAACCTTGACTGAGATCAACTGAACACAATCTGTCCTTGGACAAATGACATTGTCAGACTGGTACGATTCCAGATTTAATCAGACTCTTTCATGACATTAAAAAAAGCAATAATTATTGCTTTAATCCAAGTAAATTATACAAGAGTGCTTTTTACAGTTCTGGCCAGGTTATCATGAACTAAAACTAACCATTAAAACTAATTAAAACCATTTGTTACATTAAATAAAATAACTTTATACTTAAACAAAAGAAAATATAAATTAAACTTATTTTATTTCATCTTTGCCAAAACATCTTTCTTCATTTTCTTTCAGTTGAACTTGATTTGTAAAATTACTAAAACTGAAAAAAAATAAAATAATAAGAACTAAATTTAAAATGTTTAAAAAATCGTTAAAAATAAAAACAAAAACTAATACAAATCACAAAATAACAACATTACTAAAACTTTAATTAAAATGAAAATGGAAATGAAAAATATGATAATAAAAACTAATTAAGATGCCATTAATACAGGTCACGAGTGGAGGACAGAGGAGCCTCTTAAATAAGAAGTTACAGGTCTGTGAGAGCCAGAAATCTTGCTTGTTTGTAGGTGACCAAATACTTATTTTACCGAGGAATTTATCAATTAATTCTTTAAAAATCCTACAATGTGATTTTCTGGATTTTTTTTTTCTCATTTTGTTTCTCATAGTTGAGGTATACCTATGATGAAAATTACAGGCCTCTCTCATCTTTTTAAGTGGGAGAACTTGCACAATTGGTGGCTGACTAAATACTTTTTTGCCCCACTGTATATTAACAATAAAAAGAGAAAACTATGCACTGCTCTTTTTATTACTATGTTCTTTATTACTGACTTGGATAATAATTTTTTTTGTTCGATAGATCCGCCTTTGAAGATGTTTCATTATTCATTAAGAAACTTTTGCAACATTAACAGTTATTTAACAAAACGTTAAACTAATTTGATCTGAATAATGACACTATTGTCTTCTTTAGAGCTGCTTTATAGCTGGACAGAATTTGTGTCGTAATTTATGAACTTTGTAACATCGACACTGCCATTGAACTGAACCGAATAAACATTGAAATGACTTGACCTCAATAATGACAATTGTCTTCAGTAGAGCTGTTTTAGTTGAAATTGATGTCATTTTATATTTGTTGACATTTTACAACACTGCTATCTTCCTGTTTATTTCTGTGAAACAATCTGAATTGTATAAAGTGCTATATAAATAAATGTGACTTGAGTCTATTTCTTTATTTCAAACAAATGAAGTGTTCATTAGCATATTAATTTTGCTGTGCTATTTGACTGGTTTTGGTATCTACTACTGACATTTTTGTATTTCAGTATCAACCTTTCAGGTATCAATGTTGCTTTATTTTATTCTCAGTAAAGTTAGGATGTTAGAAGGCTAACCGCCGTCTTTTTATCTCGTGGTCGATGAGAGACCACCCATTTGACTCCACAATTTCCTTTTTTTTCTCCTGCTTGAGTCTGCACTGCCGGCTCTGTCTCTCTGTGCTTGTGCACATGTGCTCATTGCGTATGAGATGAGTTGGCAGAGTAACCAGTGACGATGGTTTACGGAAAGAGTGCTCTGCAGGAACAGTCTGCAGAGACTGAACTGCTGGCAGCATGTGATCTTCTGTTCAAACACACACAGCTTGCTTTAGTTCTCCCTCCTGCAGTCATAAAGCAGACCAAGTGAAAAGCCCCTCACTGGGGGCCTGACGCACTAAACACCCCCAACTTCTGCAGGAGTCAAAGGGGCCCTGTGCACCTCCTCAGAGAGCTTTTGCTGTATCACTATGTGTGTTAACATACAGACAAATTTCCTGTCTTGCACGCTTTGTAAGAAAATTCTGTTATATGTGACCCTGGACCACAAAACCAGTCATAAGGGTCAGTTTTTAAAAATTGAGATTTATACATCATAAGCTTTCCATTGATGTATGGTTTGTTAGGATAGGACAATATTTTGTCGAGATACAACTATTTGAAAATCTGGAATCTGAGGGTGCAAAAAAAATCAAAATATTGAGAAAATCGCCTTTAAAGTTGTCCAAATGAAGTTCTTTGCAATGCATATTACTAATCAAAAATTAAGTTTTAATATATTTACAGTAGGAGATTTACAAAATATCTTCATGGAACATGATCTTTACTTAATATCCAAAAGATTTTTGGCATAAAAGAAAAATCTATAATTTTGACCCATACAATGTATTTTTGGTTATTGCTACAAATATACCCCAGCGACTTAAGACTGGTTTTGTGGTCCAGGGTCACATATGTAGTTCATGAATCACGGGACTTAAATGATGTGTAACTCTGCTCTTCTGCTGGCTGCTCATAGTAAACGAAGCAAAGTGCATGTCAATATCAACTTTTCATTTCTTTTCAATCCAGGTCTGTGAAGATAATCGAAGATGTCGTCTAAGATGCAAAGCTCTAATAATATAGCCCAGGCCAGAAGGACTGTTCAACAGCTACGGGTAGAAGCTAACCTAGAGAGAATAAAGGTAAGTGTAATGTTCATTTCACTTAGAAAAATGTACTGTGGCATACCATGGTATTACTGTCAAAATACTGTGTTACACATTTGGACACACTTGATTGAATGCATGTTTCTCATGATCCTAAAGACGATTTGAAAATGTCAATAAATTGTGCCTTTGCATGAATATCTTTACAAAACTGACATTTTAATTAAATTAAAAAATAAAATAAATCAATAAATACAGCTGTTTGTGAAGGGACAATAGCCAAGATATGTATAGCGTACTTGGAAACTCCTTCAAGACTTCAAGAAATGGCATTCAAAGTGGCACTTCATGAATTTGTTTGAGAAAATAAGTATGCAGAGCAGTAAATCTAGAAAATGGATGGCTTGCAGAAGCTAAATTATAGGATATTTATAATTTTTTTGCTCAATATAAATTCCTGTACTTCCATTTGCGTTAATTTTTAGGGCTGTCAGTTTAATATTTTAGTGCATTTTATTTTTGTTTTTTTACCACATAACAAATTCATCCCTAGAAAAACCTTTGGCCTTTTTAGCTAGGATGCTAAGAGAGCCTCCCTACCTTACTTGAAGTGCCACCTGAATGCCAATCTGTAGTCAGTGTGGTTCCAATTGTCACTACAGGCTGCACTAGATTTACACAACACTTTCAACTGAAGACAAGAAGCTTTTTGTGTGTTTTGGCTGTTCATTTACAAGGCAATAGCATTTTGGGGGCTTGAAAAAAGCAAACTTTTGAAAACGGGTTTCAAAGTGCAAGTTTTTGAAAACAATACCATTATCGTCTCTGTGTAAAGAAACACAAATTTGTGAAAACAGTGACATTATGCGCATGCAGGCCTGGCATACATAATACAGCATTTTTAGTCTTTTTTCACTGATCCATGTGAACAGGGATCATTTTGACAACGTTGTCGTCTGTACGCTAAACTTTTTAAAAATGCAAGGGAAAAACTTTTCAGTCTTTCAGTCTTTTGTTGTCATGTAAATGTATCTTTAGACTTTTAATCTTAAAACAGAATCTTAAATATGGAGCAGCCACAGATAGACAAGAAAATTTGTGCTGGTAGAATGCAAGAATGCCTTGGGTGAACAGCCCCTAGGTCTAACTTGATTGTAAATTGGACTGTAGTCCACTTATAGGCTTATGCTCAGTGATGAGGTTCATACTTCACTGCATAGACAGAAACAGTTGAAATAGTCTCCTTTTGTGTTTTGCAGGAGAACAAATGTCATAGAATTGACAGAATTTCCCGTTTTTAATGAACTACACCTTTAACGACAAGTTAATAGTTAATTTAGTTGTATGCTAATCACGCAAATCTGTATGCACTCCTTTCTTCTTAGAAACACAAAAGAAGGTATTTTGAAAAATGTCTCTGTATTTTTGTCCATACAGTCAAAGTCTGTGGGTTTAATATTGTTAGCTTTTCCATCCTCATATTTTATGCAAATGTTGGTATATCGCTTAAAAAAACACCAAGATGTGCATAAAATCTTAAAATGCACATATAAAACAACTTATGTTCTCAATTGAGGTGGATATTTTTTTAAATCCGAATAAAAAAACAATGGAAACATTTACCGAATAAATTCCTCTGTGCACAACAACAACAACAACAACAACAACAACAAAAACTCACTTTGCCTCAACAGATCATGTGATAGGATAACCTGTATGCACTCCTTTCTTCTTAGAAACACAAAAGAAGGTATTTTGAAAAATGTCTCTGTATTTTTGTCCATACAGTCAAAGTCTGTGGGTTTAATATTGTTAGCTTTTCCATCCTCATATTTTATGCAAATGTTGGTATATCGCTTAAAAAAACACCAAGATGTGCATAAAATCTTAAAATGCACATATAAAACAACTTATGTTCTCAATTGAGGTGGATATTTTTTTAAATCCGAATAAAAAAACAATGGAAACATTTACCGAATAAATTCCTCTGTGCACAACAACAACAACAACAACAACAAAAACTCACTTTGCCTCAACAGATCATGTGATAGGATAATTGAACTAACCAGTGCACCAATCTCATCGCACACCATCTCAAATGTTATTTTAATAATTTTAAATTGCCTGAGCCAAAGTCCATCATCAAAATGATTTGGTATAATCACCTCCCATAACTTGTTCCCAAACATCAGGCATCTGAATGCAAAATAACATGACAGTGTTTGTTATTGCATTTAATCTGCCGCAAATCATTTATTCTGTAAGAAAAAAGAGCCACAGGCTTCCCCAGTTGTAGAAACTTTCGTTTTAATTATTGATACTTTGCCAGTATTGCAGAAAGTGATGAAGGAAACAGGTGACATGGAAATGTTTTTTTTTTTATTTGCAAATGCAATATTCTAATTTCCTCATAAGTTAAACTCACAACTTTGGATGGACACATAGCTATTGACATTCATTGCAAGGCCAAAAAAAGCTAAAAAAAACAACAACGTTGAAATATTTTCCTTTTATGTTTTGCATGAATTTTGAATGAACTATCCCTTTAATGACAAATGATTACATTTACAAGTCACAACAATCTAACAATTATTGTTCATATTGTATCTCCTCTTTGCAGGTGTCTAAAGCTTCTGCAGACCTCATGCATTACTGCAGTGAACATGCCAAATATGATCCTCTTCTAATGGGCATCCCAGCTTCAGAAAACCCTTTTAAAGATAAAAAGCCCTGCACTATATTGTAGTGGGATGCTTGAACTCTTAATGTATGTTTTGATGTTTCCTTTTATTTTATTTTTTAATAGAAAGAATATGATCTTCAAACATTCATTCACTATTCGCCTTAAAATGAGCTAAGCCCCAAGCTATTATTTGTATCCACTCTAGAAATGTTCCTGTTGTCTATGAAAAGGAGAGTCAAAGCTCCTAGTAAACAAATCATTTGTGGTGCAAACACAAAACCAACCTATGAATGAATTTTTCACTTTAGGGCACAGCACAGATGAGTTATTTGCATTGTGATGGTGTCTACTGATGTGGTTGTGTCTTCTGCAAATAAAGGGTGAGGTCAGAGTGGGCAGCTCTCAGCCGTGCTGGTATCATGAAGCACAGGAAACTATTATTTTTAATGACTGCACTCTTTAATATATATCTGCAGATAAGCAGAGCCTCATCAGCGGTGCTTTGACCCCATCTGATGCTTTTAAAGGCGTCCAGTCACAGGGAGATGTGGGGGGATTGATGTGAGGGCTGTAATGTCAGCTTCACGAATGTGTGAAGAGTGCTTGTGCTCAGTGGAGGAGGAAACAGGTATCTTTGGAGGCGTCACATTGACGTAATGCTACTCCGGCCCTCCCTCATTAACTCACTGTGTCTGAACAATGGAGTGATACAAAGCTAACCCCTCCTGTCAAATCACTACACGCAAGACTGTGCCCTTTCCTTTTTCTCGCAGTAAACCAAGTGAACTATGTTTCAAAAGTTCAACAACTGCCAAAACCTGCAGATCAGCATTTTAAGAGTAATACAAGGTCATGTGCTCATGCAGTTGTATGGAAGTATTGTTTATCTCCCACTTTTTTCTTCTTCTTTTAATTAGTCAAACACAATTTGGGAAACACTTTACAATAAGGTCCAATTCGTTAAAATTAATGTATTAGGAATCATGAACTAGCAATGATAAGCACATTTTAACAGCATTTATTACTCTAAGTTAATGTTAATTTATAAATATACTGTACTTGTTCATTGTTAATTAATAATATATCCGCTAATGTTAACTAAAACAACTTGAAATGTTACAAATTTATTAGTATGCACTACCATTCAAAAGACTGGGGTCAGTAAGATTTATTATGATTATTTTTTTAAAGAAATATATACTTATGTTAAGCAACAACACATTCAATTAAATCAAAAGTGATAGTAAAGACATTTATGGTGTTACGAAAAAATTCAAATAAAAATATCAAAGTTTAGAAAATTATTTTAAGCAGATAAATAATAAGAAATGTTTGGTAGTGTATGTAGAAATGAACATTAATCTATTAACTATAGCCATTATAGGTTGTACTGTAAAAAAAAATTCATAGTTAGTTCATGATACTTTTAAACGTAAAGATAATTTTATCTTATTGCAAAGTGTTACCAAAATGTGTTTGTTTTACCCATTTCTTCATTCTTTAAATGCCTGCTTTCAGTAAATGGGATGAGATTTCACCTACTCAGAACCTCTGAATTTGCATTAGAATACTTGGTCTTGTGTTATTGCCCTGTGTTTGTTAGATACAGTAGCAATACTTTATTGCAGATCATGGTACGTAATTTATTATAACCCTTTAATGATTATTTACGAGATGCCTTATGTTAGTGTACACATTTCTTCTTATTGTTTTGATTCATAATCATTGTCTCTTTTTTATGACAAAGTTGTAACGTCATTGTGCCATCTCATTCTGGGATCTAACCAGCAATAGAAACTTAAGCAGGGTTTCATATGCTTTTTCTCTACACATACACTGAGCACATGATGATTTCTCTGATTGTAGTTATTTTTGTGACTGTTATAATCATGCATTTTGACATCATTCCACGTTTACAACTCCTGTACCTTTTTTGTAACACTCTTGTGAATTGCCATGCATTTAATGAACGTGAGTGTGTGTTGCCTTCATGACACAGCTGGCAGAAAACAACTTCACCAGACCAGCTGAACCAGCCTTAATGAAGTATTCCTGCTCTGACTCGTTCACTGCCGCGCTCCTGTCTTGAGACGACAGCCAGATTTAAACTACTGTGAGCCAGCGGCGCTGCTGTCCCACAGACATCTTCACTGTGTGTCTTCATGATTACACTTCTGTCTCATGGCTCAGGCTGGATATGCCTGTGCATCATGCAACTGAACTTGTACATGTTCTTAATCTTATTTGAACAACAATATGCTTTGAATGCCAATTCCAGCCTTGCTTTCTTGTTGAGTGATGCTTTTAATGTGACATTTTTGTAATGTTTCCCAACAGTAGTATAGCATTCTCTCAGTGGCCTGTTGTTAATTGGACTGTTGTGTTTTTCTTGATGCTGTCCCTTACCAAAAAGTAGTATACGTCAAGTTTACTTGCAGTATCTCTTTTTACCTTTAAAAAATATTTTAATATGAAGAGCATTCGGTGTCACCATATTTGAATGAATTTTCCTCCCTTTCTCTGTGCTAAAATTCTAGATCTGGGTCCCAATATACTGGGTTGTAGATGTATTTTTCCAACTAAATATAGATTTATTCTCAATCTTGTGGTCTTGTTTTTATATGTTCTCTGGTGAGTCCAGTCTAACATTTACATTTATTTATTTACAGATTGCAGAACTAATATTAATAAATAGAAGTATTGTTCATTGTTAGTTAAGTCAACTAATGTTAACATATAAGACCTTAATGGAAAGTGCTACCAAAAAATTCCTTTCAAATAAATGCTGTTCTTTTGAATCAGAAAATCCTGGGGAAAAAATATTGTATCACACTTTGCATAAAGATATTAAGCAGAAAAACTGTTTTCAGCATTGTTGACAATAACTAGAATTTTTCTTAAATCAGCATATTAGTATGTTGTCTTGTGGATGCTGGAAATTCAGCTTTACTATTACAGGAATAAATGCTAAAATATATTAAAATATAAAACAGTTATTTTTAATTGTGATAATATTTTGCAATATTAGTTTTTACTGTATTTTTGATCAAATAAATGCAGCCTTGATGCATTATAATAACTGCATAGTCTGTCATAGGTGATATTAGTGTGTGTGTGTGTGTGTGTTTGTTTGTTCTGCCATAGTTTATTTTATGTCACTATTAGGAGAGGATGATGTGTATTTAATTGCTGCCTCATGCTTTCCCTCAGCAGCCAGGTGTTCATGGTCTCACTATTCCCACTTGCTCTAATTTATCTGATATTGTTTTATTTGGGGCTTCAGGTCAAAGCCCTTTTGTTATGCAATGATCCCAGTAGAGCTCCTCTCATACCTGCTGCACTTAGAAACAGGTCAGGCTGTATTTACTGCCCTATATCGATGTAATCAGCGGAGCGTCTTGTCTATGATTGATGAAGTGGCTTTGTGGTCATGTCATTTTTAGTGATAGAGTTACCTCTCAGCTCGGCAGAAAAGCTCCAGTTTAAACCCCATAATCCTGTATGAGGAAAACAAGGAGCCATATATCACCTTTTATTTATTTGTTAGTATTCAGCTATATACCAGAGCTTTGCGAGACCACAGGTGTCCTTTAATGATGAATACTTTGTATTTCAGGATGTACTATTCATACTACACAGTAGTATGTATTGGACTCTGTAGTATTGCTCTCCTGGAGTGGCCTTTCCGCTGCAGAACCTTGTAACGTTGCTTGTTTTCAAGATGCTTTGATGAATATGAAGTTCAAAAGAACAGCGTTTATTTAAAATATATTTTTGTAACAATATGAAAGTCTTTAAAGGGGACATAACAGCCTTCATATCTCCAAACTCCGAAGAGTTTTTAGTTTGATCAGATTTATAAAAGACAGATACAGCTTTAGGCTTCTCTCCGAAAACATTCGAGCTAAAGAGTCACGAGCACGCGCAGCTTTTGCGTAGCTATTGTCTGCAATCTGTCGACGTCGACATAAATAAAACAGGGACAAAAAATTAATTGACTTACATTTTATTTAATTTATTTATAAAACATTTGTCTCCGAAATGCCGAGAACAAACAAACACACTTGCACAACTCCTGCTGCCCCTGAGAACTGCATCCACTGTTCCCTTAACGCTGGGTTCTTTGGGAAGCTGAACAAGGTTATCTTTCCCTCACAACCAGAAACACTCTTCTTTGGTGACATTGTTGATTTCGTGGTCTAAAAACAAAATGACAAATCCTTCTCGAGCAAGACCTGTGCAGCACAGCCAATGGGCGTGTGCTCTTGCTCTGGTTGACCTATGCAGGCATCACGCTACTTTGAGAGAAGTGCCCATATAAGGAATTCCATCCTTTATGACGTCATACAGGGCTCAAAAAACTTTCTGACACTTATAGGAACCCTGAGGGAGTGTATTTGGCACAAAAATACTCCATCATATGTCCAAGTCGTTTTTTTTTTGTTGACACTTTGGCCATGTTTAGCATAACTTTTTAACAGTATAGTATAATATATAGTATAATCACTTGATATGGCAAGTAAAGGGTTAATTACAATAACTCTGTACTCCTCTGAGAAGCTCAACATTAAATTGTCCTTTATGCACTCCGGGTTTGATCTGTGGTGCTGCAGTTGGCCCCTTTAGAAACATTTGCATTCCTCATGTGTGGGAAGAGTCAGCGTCTCACTTCCACCTAAAAGCATGGTGCCAATGATCCCAATGAAGAATGGAGTTTCCCAGCTCTAGGCACTTTTGGAGAGAAAGTACCATTGTGTCACTTAATAAATCTGCAAAAATGTCAACAATTCTGTGTTTTTCTGTCAATATGGGGTGCTGTGTGTACATTAATGAGGAAAAAAATTAACTTAAATGATTTTCGCAAATGGCTGCAATATAACAGAGTGAAAAATTTAAGGGGGTCTGAATACTTTCGTTCTGCCCTCAAAGAGTTTAACTAAACCTTCCTGGCAGTTAATATGAATATGCATGAACTGCAGCTGTGATCGATCTGTGCACTCGAGGCTACCTCGCGTGCGAGCAATAAACTAATACTAGGAGAATGAAATGACACATACTGTGACTAATACGCAGTGGAGGTCCATCGACTCTCCTCCCGGTTTCACACCCTCCAGGATCTCTGCCAGACGTCTCATGTTGTTCACTCGTAAGATATCGATGTCATTCTCACAGCAGAATGCTTGAATCAAGGTAAAATGAATCTGGAGTGCGACGTCTTTCACATCCTCCTCGTCTGTGGCCAGCAGACACAAAACCACATTGTCTGGGTCCCTAGGAAAATGACGATGAAAGTACATTTAACAATGTGCAAAAACAGAAAAAGATTATGAAAATAGTTACTTTTTTTCCTTTGTCCCCAGTTTGTGCATCTGCCCTTCTATAAATCACAACTCCATTATGCAAAATAATGAAAAAGCCATCATGATCCAAGATGTTAACTCTCTAAGTGCAAGTAAAAGTTTTTTAATGACTTTATCTTATGTTTTGTTAGTAGTCGTAGTTTGTCTCTAATAAACACCTTGTAGTGTCACCTTAAGACTAATGATGGCCAGATGAAAAAATGTTAACTGGTTACCTATATCCCAACATTTATTGCATTTTTAGAATGCAATGACCCATTTATGGTTTGGAATTGATCTGCAATGACCACTTACGCATTAAGTGATTTCGCAGCCTCATAAACTCCCACAGTGATGCAACCCTGAGGTAATGCAGCAGTCAGGACCTCTTCCAGTGCCTTTTCAACCGAGTCCATTCTAAGAGATGATTCGAAAACACACATTAGCTTTCATTTACACACAAAATGAACAGTTTTATTCTCTTAGAGAGGATAAAACATATAGGGAAACATTCTGCATGAACGAGATTTGCAGCTGAATAGAGGATATGTAATCAATGTCACGACTAGTAAGTTACTGTCGTTTGATCAAACTTCTGCACGCAACGCAGCAAAGCATTTTAAGCAAGTAACGTAACGTTAACAGGAGGCCATGTGCAGCGACAGAGGCGTTCAAGTAGAAGTAATTTACGTTATATAAGCACACGAGCAGATCAAGAGAAAATTTGTATTGACATTTCGAGAAATGATTTGTGGACCTCGTGATCTTTCAACGGGACAGACAAATATGCAGCACCAGTAAGTTTTATACGAGAACATACCTTTCCGTTGCGTTGTCTCCACACGGTTCTTCAAAAGTCATATTGCACATTAGAGACGGATATCCTTAGTATGTGTCGCGCTCTGTTCTCCGTTAGCATGTAAACCTGTGCAACCCAGGGCCTGGAATACGCTGCTGGTGCTGAGTGCAGTGATAAACTAAACTGACGCTGGTATCTGCAAACAGTGGAGTACGCACGCCAGCCTCATTTACATACCTTCACTGATTGGTCAGCTCACGTAGACGCGCATACAACCTAGTCGGGGGAGTTCACAGTGCATTAACTAATGTTAACAGATAAAACCATTTTTTTTGTATGTTTAAGTTTTGAATATTAACTGACATTAATACATGCTATATAATTGTTCATGTTAATGAATATAGTTAATGTTAATAACTGAAACCTTATTGTAAAGTGTTACTAAAGTAGCAACAACTCAAGTGCAGTTGCTTTTAAAATATCTTAATATATTTTCTAAATATTTTTCATCCACAATAATTTGTAGCCAAGGATTGCTTCAGGCCAACAATAATCTTTCTAAACGACGAGAAGTGATCAAAGGGACATCTGGTGGCAGGTTAGCAGGGTTGCCGGGTTTTCACAACAAAACCTGCCCAATTGCTGTAATGTTTCTTGAGCCAATAAAGAAATAGTTAAGTAACAAACTGATTTTTATTCTATTTTCAGGACGGGAAGCGGAGCAGCCGCAGCACAACTTAACTTCTGCTTCCTAATCGACAAACGCGCTCCCGGTAAGTGTAACACTACTGACACCTAGTGGTTCGTTTTAGTACTGTCAAATACAAATACATTCTATCACAGGGTTCCTCACATCTTGCCCTGGAGGGCCAATGCGCTGCACAGGCAACTCAGCTGCCTGTGATTTTCTAACGATCCTGAAGACATTGATTAGCATGCTCAGGTGTGTTTGATTAGGGTTAGAGCTAAACTCTGCAGGAAAGTGGATCTCGTGGGCCAGATTTGAGGATCCCTGTTCTATCACTACACCCCCTTTCCTTTAGATGTTAATATCAAGTTATTTCAAGTAATTATGCAAACTTATAGATTAAACAATTAAATTAAACAACCATTAAGCAAGTGTACAAATTATAAGACTTAATACAACATATTACAGTCTCAAGAATTATTTACATTGTGCAGTAATAATCAACATTACATTTACTTTTTTTTTCATTTTAACTCAAATACTTATGATGTGCTTGAGCATTATTCACAGGTTAAGTCTATCAGGGGGCTTCACTGTGCGTTTTGATCTTCGCAGTACTGGTGAATGCATATCCTCAGCTGGTTCCTTGTCATCCAGTACTGGAAGCGTTTCAGATGTTTTTTGTGATACTGCACAGCCTGTGTCCTCTGTGGAAGTATCCACTAGTACGGTCTCTTTTGTTTTCAACAGACTCCTCCGATTTCTCCTCAGGATTTGACCATCCTCTGTCCTGACAGTGTACGATCTCGGGTGTTGCGTCTGAATAATTGTGCTACTTTTAAGGCCTCCCTTAGATGGCACCGTTGTTCATACATGTTCTATTGTAGGATAGTAATGAAGGAAGACGGTTAAGTAAACTGTGTGTGGTTCAGTACTGCTTATTTTCTGCTTCTTTATTTTACTGATTCCCAACATAACATCGGGTTCACCTCATCCAGGACTGTGGCTCTTTTAGACCAGGTACTGTGATCCTCAAGTCTTACTGTGTCATTATTGGAGAGTGGTTCTAGGCCTTTTGATGCCTTGTCATAATTTGCTTTTTGTCACTGTTTCAGGTGCTCTTGTTTGGTGATGCTAAGCAAGGAAGTGTGGTCCGTAATCTGCACCCCATCAGGATTTCTGCAGGAGACACACCATGTTCTAGTGGCGAAGTACGGTAATTCAGCAGAGCTAAACAAGGATCCGATCGACTGTCTACTGCTTTCTTGAGCAGTAACTTCACTATGTGTACTCCTTTCTCTGCTTTTCCATTCGATTTATAATGAGCTTGATGTCACATGTTGAAACCCATACTCCTCAGCAAATTTCTGGAAGTCTTTGCTACTGTAGCATGGCCCATTATCACTGCAAACCACCTGTGGAATGCCGTGTCTCGCGAAGATGGATTTCATATGTGTAACCACCAGTGTTGGGCAAGTTACTCTGAAAATGTAATCAAATGACTGATTACTCCTTTTAAAAGTAATCACATTACTGTTCTGATTACTTTATTTCAAAAGTAATTAGTAATTAGTTACATTACTTTTTTCTCCATTAAATTGATGAAATCCCAGGATAAACGCTCCTGATAAATATTTGTTATTAAAGCATTAACATTCACAGAACACTGAATGCCAGCAAAGAGCGCTGCATTTATAATCTCTAAAAGACATCTCAGTTCATCGCAATCTCACAAATCTCTGTTATAATACAATAAATATATGCAAAATGAATCTTCCCTATCACAATAATGATATATATATATATATATATAGCTTAAAATAGGATTTTTATCCAATCAATTTTTGATGCATTGCAATTTCACAATTCTTGTTACAAATTTCAATATCACAAAATAAAAAAATAAAAAAACTAGCCTAAGTAAAAACTAATTTACTGAAGACAAGTAAATAGTCATGAATTACAATAGAACAAAGAATTTGACCTACAAATACTTAAAGCACTGAATAAGAAATATTATATTGTATAAAATAAATAGACTACAAATAGACTGAATAGTCTTCACTGCATAAATTCATTATACATTATTTTACAAAAGTGATTCGGTCAAGGACAGTGAGTGATTTATGTTTAATTTACATTATTGACAAATAGTAACAGCAGCTATATTATGGCGTTTTTCCACTGCGTGGTACGACTGGGCTTGGCACGGCTCAGTACGGCATGGCTCGGTTTGGTTTGCGTTTCCACTGCAGTTTAGTACCACTTTAGAGTGGGTGGGATTATGCACATGTCGTTATCGTTGTGCCGCTTCTACTGCCGTGACTCCTGAAAAACTTTTTCATTCCGCTTCGCCCCATCAAGCTCTCACTGGATCCGCTCCTCTGCTATCAACGAAAGGAACATCTGTACTTCCTCAACAGACCACGAAACAGCCATTTTTTGGTTGTTAAAAAATGGTGCGCTCGTTCAAAACAGTTGTGTTCGATCCTTCCAGCTGTGCTGATTTAAATCTAGCAGTTCTGTTGTGTTTGTGTCGCAAGTTCAGTGATGCAGGTAGTGACGATTCTCTCCGGCCAATCAGTAATCAGCAGAGATTACACGTCACGTTCACTTGGAACCTCAACCGAGGTGGTACTAAAAAAAGTACCAGGTACTGTACCCAGTGGAAAACACTCCAAAAGTGAACTGTACCGAGCCGTACCATGCAGTGGAAAAGCGCCATTAGGCTGGTTTGGAGGAATAGTTCACCCAAAAATTTAAGTTATGTTGTTGTTTTTCTAAACCTGAATGTGTTTCCTTCTGCGGTTGAATGCAAATGTATATATTTGGAACAATAGCCTACTGGTAACCAAACAGTTTCTGTGTCCCCATGACTTCCATAGTATGAAGAATAAAAAATAAAAAAAAAACACTGTTGGAGTCAACAGGGATCAGGAACTTTCTGGTGGTTACGAATATTCTTCAAAATATCTTCTTTTATGTTGAGGAGTAAATTCATACAGGTTCAGAACAACTTGAAACTGAGAAAATGATGACAGTATCTTAATTTTTGGGTGAACTCCATCCCTTTAAAATCTCATCATATAATGCCAGGATCTCATAATAGCCAACTAGTGCACATGCTTTATCTTTAACTATTAACGTTCATTTAAGACACAAATGACTGTATTGACGAGGAGACAGGCATTTTGACACATAACTATGTGTATTCGAACATTTAAACACAAGGTGCGAAAAATAACTCTTAGTTTAGTCAGGCGCTGTATGAGCAAGTGTGCTCCACGCGTATCAGACACCATCTTAACGTGCGCATTTACCAAAATGAATTCTGCCCCACTGCTTAAATTCCCTGAACAGTTAAATTAGTTTTTAAAAAGAAAATGCTTAAAATGTGTTTAAATGAAAAGCTTTGCATCATGACATGCAAAATGAATCTCAACCCATAAGCGAATATACTAGGCCTATAGAGTTTGTTCAAACACAAAAAGCAACATCTATCAAGTTAATAATCAAACTAACCTAAAATCTGTGGGGATGATGAGGCTGTGTTTTTATCTGCTCCATGAGTCCGGTCCATTTGCGGTTCCACAACTCCCACTCCATCATCAGCTTTAGTAAAATAAACTAGCTGTGGATTTTAGTGACTCACTCATGTTCCCTTTCGATTCGGTCACTCTACATTGCTATGGCAATTAAGCCTTCCTCCAAATACTACTGAAGCCTTATAGAATCACGCAAGTGAAACTTGCCAATGGTGTTCAAGCGCGCAAAATATGAGGGGCTCCCACTCTATATAAAGCAGCGCTTGTACGTCATCCATTCAGAATCTTTTCCTTAAGCCAACCTTCTACGAGAAGCAAGAAGCCTATCATCAAGAGTACTCACCAGGATCTACGGCTTGGCACGGCTCAGTACGGCACGGCTCGGTTTGGTTTGCGTTTCCACTGCAGTTTAGTACCACTTTAGAGTGGGTGGGATTATGCACATGTCGTTATCGTTGTGCCGCTTCTACTGCCGTGACTCCTGAAAAACTTTTTCATTCCGCTTCGCCCCATCAAGCTCTCACTGGATCCGCTCCTCTGCTATCAACGAAAGGAACATCTGTACTTCCTCAACAGACCACGAAACAGCCATTTTTTGGTTGTTAAAAAATGGTGCGCTCGTTCAAAACAGTTGTGTTCGATCCTTCCAGCTGTGCTGATTTAAATCTAGCAGTTCTGTTGTGTTTGTGTCGCAAGTTCAGTGATGCAGGTAGTGACGATTCTCTCCGGCCAATCAGTAATCAGCAGAGATTACACGTCACGTTCACTTGGAACCTCAACCGAGGTGGTACTAAAAAAAGTACCAGGTACTGTACCCAGTGGAAAACACTCCAAAAGTGAACTGTACCGAGCCGTACCATGCAGTGGAAAAGCGCCATTAGGCTGGTTTGGAGGAATAGTTCACCCAAAAATTTAAGTTATGTTGTTGTTTTTCTAAACCTGAATGTGTTTCCTTCTGCGGTTGAATGCAAATGTATATATTTGGAACAATAGCCTACTGGTAACCAAACAGTTTCTGT